GAAAGAAAGAAAGAAAGAAAGAATAAAATAAATAAATAAATAAAGAATGAATAAAAGAAAGGAAAGAATGGAAAAATGAAGTAGAGTTTTCTGAAAGAAAAAAATAAACAAGCTAACAAGAGAACAAACCAAAAAATCGGAAAAAAAGAGTACAGATTTCTAAAAGAAAGAAAGAATGAACGAACGAAAGAAAAAAAGAAAGAAAGAAATAACGAAAGAAAGAACAAACGAACGAACGAAAGAAAGAAAGGATGAATGAACGAACGAACGAATGAAAGAAAGAAAGAAAAACGAAAGAAAGAAAGAAAAAAACGAACGAAAGAAAGAAAGAAAAAAAGAAAGAAAGAAAGAAAGAAAGAACGAACGAACGAACGAACGAACGAAAGAAAGAAAGAAAGAAAGAATGAACGAACGAACGAAAGAAAGAAAGAATGAAAGAAAGAAAGAAAGAAAGAAAGAAAGAAAGAATAGGAAAACGAACGAGATATTTCTGAAAGAAAAAAGAAAGAATGAAAAAAAATGAATGAAAGACAGAAAGGAAAAAGGAGATATTTGTCAAAGAAAAAGAAAAAGACAACAAAACATAAAATGAAATGGAACTTTCTAAAAGAGAGAGAGAGAAATATAGAATTTAAAAAATGAGATTTCTAAACGAAAGAAAGAAAGAACGAAAGAACGAAAGAAAGGAGACAGATTTACTACAGAGCAATATAAACGATGAACATCCAAAAAAGCCAATTGCTTTCCAGGATTCGTGTTTAGTATCCATGAGCGAAACATTAACTAGCTATAAGAGAGAGTTCACTTATGGCGGTCACAAACAGAGAAAGACAGGTGAAGAGGCCCACAGAAGAATTTGAATATTTCACTGTAATCAGACGACAACCATGGTCTGCTACCTGATGAAGACACTAACAATATTAGCGAATATTGAGTTTCTTCCATTTATTCTTCTATTTAATTTTCCATCTCATTTGTGCTAGCGTTTACTTCACCAGATTCTGCCAAATTCTGACAATCAATTTATCTCTCTTCCGTCTTTCTCACTACACACACACACACACATATATATATATATATATATATATATATATATATATATATAAATATATTTTAACGGATTAATTATACTGTCACTATCTCGCTACCTATATATCTATCTATCATAGTCCTTTCATGTCTATCAATGAGTCTCTCTCTCTCTATCTCTCTCTCTCTCTCTGACTAGCTACGTCAGTGTGTTCTTATTTATCTACAGGTTGTGATGAGGTATCTGTCTATCTATATTACTCTGTTCATATCCATGTATCTATCTATTTCAATCTATCAATCGCAATCTGTTCGTAGCTATTTGTCTGTCTGTCTATCTATTTATCTATCTATCTATGTTTGTTTATATATATATATATATATATATATAGTGTGTGTGTGTGTGTGTGTGTGCGATGGGTAAATTGTCATTTTTACATTTATTGCGCATGCGCATTGTTTGATTTTGATTTTATTGGCTGTACAGTATAGTTGGGTCGTTTGGACACGTTCTTTGAGAAAAGAAGCACCATGACGCAATACACTCCGCCAGATAATTGTAAACGGCATGCTGTACTGCTTTGTTATTGAGGACCTCAAACTCAACATGGAGGCCTACATCATGTGCCTTGAGGAGGTAGTACTACCATGGGTCAAGAGGGTGAACTAAAGGCAAAGATTATGGCAACATTCACCAACTTAAACAAGGAGACCGCCCAGAAAAGATCCAGGAGATTTGTAGTCGTCTGGAGGCCCTGGTGGAAGCCAATGGCGATTTTATTGAATAAATTTACTATTTAATATTCAATAACTTTTGTGAAATTTTGGTAAATATATCTGTTAAAAAGAGATGTCAGTGTTATTTTCATTTTTGCGTAATTTAGATGACAATCACAAACTATCTATCTATCAATCTGTCTGTTCCTATCTATTTGTCTATTGTCTGTTTGTCTAGCTATCTATCTCAGTCTGGTCATATCTGTTTTATCTGTCTATCTATTTTAGTCTGTTGCTATCTATCAATCTCAGCCTGTTCATATTTACGGATGCATTTCTTTTGTCTGTTCATGTATGTCTCTCTCTTCCGTATGTTCATATTTATCTATCTGTACCAATCTGTTCATATCTATCTATCTATCTGTACCAATCTGTTCATATCTATCTATCTACCTATCTATCTATCTATCTATCTATCTATCTCTATCTATCTGTACCAATCTGTTCATATCTATCTATTAAAGACATTTTTATGTTTAACATTCTTTTTATAGATACAAGTATTTAAGTAAATGCTCTGTTTTATAATAAACAGTATTAAATAACATTTACCGGCCTGAATGTCCGAGACATTTTCATAGAAAATATTCGTCCTTTGACAGGATTCGGAACCGTCATTTAGCTTGACGTGCCTAACCTCTCGGTCACAAAGGAACGTTCGGTAGGCAAGGTCGAATTTACTGCTTATAAACTTCAATCTTCCATAAATCTCGTACATTCATAACTGCTCATGGCGTATCAAATGTAAACAAATGACGTCATACATTAAGAAATGGACAAAGTCCGACAATTTATTAAAGATATTTTTATGTTTAACATTATTTATCTATTTTCTATGAAAATTTCTAGGACATTCAGGTCGGTAAATGTTATTTAATACTGTTTATTATAAACAGAGCATTTACTTAAATACTTGTATCTATAAAAAGAATGTTAAACATAAAAATGTCTTTAATAAATTGTCGGACTTTGTCCATTTCTTAATATCTATCTATCTATCTATATCTATCTATCTATCTCATTCTGTTCATATCTATCTATCTATCTATCTATCTATCTATCTATCTATCTCATTCTGTTCATATCTATCTATCTATCTATCTCATTCTGTTCATATCTATCTATCTATCTATCTATCTATCTCAGTCTGCTCATATCTATCTATCTCAGAAGCGGTGATTTAAATATATTGAAAAATGAGATTATGTCGAACAAGATTTTCTACGATAAATGCCTTGTTCATGGTAATAGTTTAAAGTTAGTTAGAAACAGTTATATGCGGACACAGGGATCCACCTTGTATGGTGACTGTTAGTTTCATGGTCGGAAGTTCACCCTATACATAAAACTGATGGAGTCTATGAAAGATTTATGGCTATAACCACAATCCGAGTGCTCTAACTACAACTGGAATACTTGATCTCCCCATGTGCCACATTTTTTTAGATTTCCATTTCAAGGTCCTTGTATTTTGATAGTTTTAAGTTTTTCAATGATACATTGCAGCCTGCACAGACTGACATGTCAATAAGGAAGCACATTTTATCTTTGCAGTCTCTAATCACGATGTATGGGCGATTAGCTTTGATTGAGTACAGGGTTTGATTGGTACGGGGTTTGATTAGTACGGGGTTTGTCTGCATCAGCTTGTTTGGTACTTGCAGAGTATTGACCGTGAAGAGATTTATCTTGCCATCATTTCTGTATCGGGCCGAATGCAATTTGCCTTTGCTTTTTTTTTAAAGTATTTTACAACTGCAATCGGTGTATTACGCTTTACTTGGAATTTATTTTCAGTTTCAAACTCCATTTTGAACTTGCTGGCTTCCTTTATTATTGAATAAAGTTTCTTAATTCTTTCATGTTATTTAACACAGATCATCATCCAATCTTCTGTAATTTCCAGGTATCTTTGAAGGCCAATTGTTATAGTTTTGTAAGACAGTTTTATTTAAACTAATCCTCTTCCCACTTCGAGTCTGAGCCTATGTAAACGATCAACATCAGCCTTGGATAATGCATGCGGTGGCAAGTGAAAAGCTTTTACGTTTTGGCGCCATTCGCTCAGTATCTGCTATGGTCCAGTTAAGGATGTTGAAATTGTATTTCACCAAAGCGACAGCCGGGGTGTTTATGGCTGAAATTCTGGTTTTTGAATTCAGCTAGGTATTCAGACTCACACGCCTGTAGTACTCCTTTCTTTCCTTCTGCTTCATTTGGTTATGCTGTATTCAGTTTCTGGCTCCTAGTTACTTATAGGCTTCTTCTTGTTTCAGTTCCCTAAACGTTGTGACTAAATCTAGATCTATTGAGTGTGTTTCTGTAATTTTCCCTTTCTTGGATGTAACTTTTGCACATTTAACTAATCCGAAATCTATAACTATGTCGTCATTGAAATATTGTACAGTATTGAGGACACGCTTCAGCTCATTGTCGCCTTTGGCATAGCGTTTCAGATCAATTATGTAGTTATTATTATTATTATTATTATTATTATTATTATTATTTAACCCAATCAGTTCACATCTATCTATCTATCTATCTATCTATCTATCTATCTATCTATCTATTTATTTATTTCAGTTTGTTCATGTCTATCTAGCAGTCTATCTATGTATCTATTTAAGTCTATTGCTATCTATCTATCAATCTCAGTTTGTTCATATTTATTATCCACTTCTTTTGTCTTTTCATATCTGTCTCTCTCTTCTGGATGTTCATATCTATATATCTTCACATATTTTCAGATCTATCTATCTATCTATCTATCTATCTATCTATCTATCTATCTATCTATCCGAATTTGTTCATATCTATCTATCTGTCTATCCGAATCGGTTCATATCTATCTATCTATCTATCTATCTATCTATCTATCTTAGTCTCTTCATATCTATCTATCTATCCCAATTTGTTCATATCTATCTATCTGTCTATCCGAATCGGTTCATATCTATCTATCTATCTATCTATCTATCTGTCTGTCTATCCGAATCGGTTCATATCTATCTATCTATATATCTATCTATCTATCTATCTATCTATCTATCTGTCTATCCGAATCGGTTCATATCTATCTATCTATCTATTTATCTATCTATCTATCTATCTGAATCTGTTCATATCTATCTATCTATCTGTCTATCCGAATCGGTTCATATCTATCTATCTATCTATCTATCTATCTATCCCAATCTGTTCATATGTATCTATCCATCCTAATCTGTTCATACCTATCTATTTATCTATCTATCCCAATCTGTTCATAACTATCTATCCATCCCAATCAGTTCATATCTTATCTATCTATCTATCTATCTATCTATCCCAATTTGGTCGTATCTATCTATCCATCCCAATCTGTTCATAACTATCTATCCCAATCTGTTCATATCTATCTATCTATCTATCTATCTATCTATCTATCCCAATTTATTCGTATCTATCTATCCATCCCAATCTGTTCATACCTATCTATCTATTTATCTATCTATCCCAATCTGTTCATATCTATCTATCCATCCCAATCTGTTCATATCTATCTATCTATCTATCTATCTCAGACTTTCTTTCTATCTATCTATCTATCTATCTATCTATCAAAGATGATGATTTAAAGGCATTTGGGTATACATTAGTATATCTCCTTCGCTAATTCCTCGGTACCCTATAGGCTTCTTCTTGTTCCAGTTACGTAATCATTGTTCAATTCCCTAAACCTCGATCTACTGAGTGTTTTTTTTTTCTTCTTACTTAAACGTTATATTTTATTTGATGCATGTAATTTAGTAGAAACCATGTTTTTTTAAATAACGTTTACCAGCCTTTGCATTCGGGAGTCTTGCTACAGAATACCTAACCTCTATGGCGCATTCAACTGTGCAATGAAACCACCGTCTAATCGGGTGTTTCTTTTGACCGCTTTATGAACACACTCGTATGCACAGTAAGGTAGCTATTCTCACTGTTTAAGAAAGAAGAAGGCGTCTATTCAAACACGTTCAAACAGCTCTAAAAATACGACGTTTATATATATATATATATTAAGAAATGGACAAGGTCCGACAATTTATTTATTAAAGACATTTTTATGTTTAACGTTGTTATTTATAGATACAAGTATTTAAGCAAATGCTCTGTTTATGATAAACAGTATTAAATAACATTTACCGGCCTGAATGTCCGAGAAATTTTCATAGAAAATATTCGTTCTTTGACAGGATTCGAACCTGCATCCTATAAGGAACCGTCATTTACGCTGACGTGCCTTACCTCTGGGCCACAAAGAACCTTTCGGTAGACTAGGTCGAATTTACTGCTTATAAACTTCAATCTCGTACATTCATAACTGCTCTGGCGTATCAAATGTAAACAAATGACGTCATATATTAAGAAAAGGATGCAGGTTCGAATCCTGTCAAAGAACGAATATTTTCTATGAAAATTTCTCGGACATTCAGGCCGGTAAATGTTATTTAATACTGTTTATCATAAACAGAGCATTTGCTTAAATACTTGTATCTATAAATAACAACGTTAAACATAAAAAATGTCTTTAATAAATAAACTGTCGGACCTTGTCCATTTCTTAATATATGACGTCATTTGTTTACATTTGATACGCCAGAGCAGTTATGAATGTACGAGATTCATGGAAGATATAGATAGATATGAACAGGCATCAAGATAGATAGATAGATAGATAGACAGATAATGAAAAGAACGAGATAGATAGATATAAATAGGCATCAATATAGATAGATATGAAGAGAACGAGATAGATAGATAGATAGATAGATATAAACAGGCAACAAGATAGATAGATAGATAGATAGATAGATAGATAGATAGATAGATAGATAATGAAGAGAACGAGATAGATAGATAGATAGATAGATAGATAGATAGATAGATAGATAGATAATGAAGGGAACGAGATAGATAGATAGATATAAATAGGCATCAATATAGATAGATATGAAGAGAACGAGATAGATAGATAGATAGATAGATAGATAGATAGATAGATAGATAGATAGATAGATAGATATAAACTGGCAACAAGATAGATAGATAGATAGATAGAAACAGGCAACAAGATAGATAGATAGATAGATAGATAGATAGATAGATAGATAGATAGATAGACTGAAAGAGACTAAGATGGGAATAGCATGAAAATGCCGAAGTTGTAAAATGGACGCCATTTATAATACTTATCCAGAGTGCTTATGCTCGCAATTATTTCCCATCAACAGTTAAAGACACTTCACCTCTTTGCAATATGCATTTCGTTTCATTCGGGACCATTTATCTTGCATCTTTTAGATATAGGGATTCCCTAAAAGAACAGGAAACAATTAGAACCAATCCGTGGACGATTTTCATTCAGGAATCATAAAAAGTGCCCGCTGCCTTGAAGGAAGCCGCTTGACGCCTTTGGCACATCATAAAGATGGCGGACGAATCAGTGAATCTATTGAATGCTCATTTTATATCTTGTTTATGTTTCTTCTTTCTTAAATACTTTTGAAGGTTGCAGTGCGATGTGTGGGTTGATGTGAACGACAAATTGAAGATACTAAAATCAAGCCTCTAAGATCTCAGGAACACATTAAGAAACGGGAAATTTTTGTTAGAAAGAAAGTAAAGTTTTTGTCAGTTATAGATAATTCAGATAAGGGAAGACAAAGAATAACTTTGCTAGTAAAGTTCGTTACGAACCAGTAACAAACTTTGAACAAATAATTTTGGAATTCTTTTTAATATTTACTATACAGGTGGGCGGTGAAAAAAAATTTTCATCTATTAAAAAGACTTATTTTTAACCGATGTCGCTTCACGATTAACGGTGATCATGTCTCCCCATAGATTCCATCGTTTTGAATTCAGAACTGAGTTTACACCGCTATTTAATTCATCGAAATAATTGATTTCATGTCTTTCTCAAGGGTATTAGCGTAAGGTAAACGCAACGGAGCAGGCAGGAACCTGATGAAAGAGCTATATAGATAGATAGATATGAAGAGAACGAGATAGATAGATAGATAGATAGATAGATAGATAGATAGATAGATAGATAGATAGAAACAGGCATCAAGATAGATAGATAGATAGATAGATAGATAGATCTGAAAAGAGGTTAAGATAAACCTGAAAAGATAGATAGGTAGATATATATATATATATATATATATATAGATAGATAGATATATAGATAGATAGATAGAAGCAAGCATCAAGATAGATAGATAGATAGATATGAAGAGAACGAGATTTGTGAGTTTATGTGTACGATAAATAACAACTTTGCCAGTAAAGTTCGTTACGAACCAGTAACAAACGTTGAACAAATAATTTTGGGATTCTTTTTAATATTTACTAAACAGGTGGGCGGTGAAAAAAATTTTCATCTATTAAAAAAACTTCTTTTTAAGCCATGTCGCTTCACGATTAACGGTGATCATGTCTCCCCATAGATTCCATCGTTTTGAATACAGAACTGAGTTTACACTGCTATTTAATTCATAGAAATAATTGATTTCATGTCTTTCTCAAGAGTATTAGCGTAAGGTAAACGCAACGGAGCAGGCAGGAACATGATGAAAGAGCTAGATAGATAGATAGATAGATATGAAGAGAACGAGATAGATAGATAGATAGAGATAGATAGATAGATAGATATGAACAGAACGAGATTTGTGGGTTGATGTGAACGACAAAGAATAACTTTGCCAGTAAAGTTCGTTACGAACCAGTAACAAACTTTGAACAAATAATTTTGGGATGCTTTTTAATATTTACTATACAGGTGGGCGGTGGAAAACTAAATGCTGCTTGTATCTCGATTCTACTGCTACATTGTGCTTTCTATTTTAAATTATATTTGAAAACTTTTTCTTCTTTTTATGTGTCATGTCCTTTCAGAACGTAGGCAATCATGGATCTCCACCTCCTTCTATCCCTTTGCAGCTCTCAACAAGTTCCTTCCCTGTGCTTCCTCCCCCAGACCACGTTCTGTCATCTACTTGCTTAAGTCCGTCAAATATGTAACGCGTTGTTTTCTCTTGTCTCTTTATGTATCCAAGAAACTCCAGCTGCCTCTTCTTGATGTTAAGTATAAGCCTCCTCCTTGTTTGCAACCTCTCTAATACATCATCGTTGCTCACAGTCTCGGTCCATGATATCCTTAGCATCCTTCTGTAGAACCACATCTTTGTCGCCTCGAGTCTCTTCTTCATCTTTGAGGAAATCGTCCGACATTCGCTGCCGTAAAGAATGACAGATGTCGCGTAACAGTTCAGTATTCTTTTCTTTGCTACCAAAGAAATCCTTCTGTCTCGCAATACTCTGCCCAGCTTTTGGAATGCGTCCTTGGCCATCCCAATACGTCTACGGATCTCAGTATCGCACTTACCGTCTTCTGTCAAGACGCTTCCCAGATATTTAAACTTCCGCGTTTGCTCGATTCTAGTATTCCCGACCTGCAAATCGTGTTTCAGGCTCTTCCTCTTACTGATGGCCATGCATTCTGTTTTCTTGTAGTTTATGCTTAGTCCTTTCTTCTCGCTCTCCGTCGCTACCTTCTGTAAGAGATTTTGCCATTTCTCTTCCGTGTCTGCTATCAATACTGTGTCGTCTGCGTATCTTATGCTGTTAAGATTGTGGCCGCCAATACTAAATCCCGGTAGGGTTTCGAATTTTCTCAAAATTGCCTCCCTGTATTGGTTGAACAGGTCGAGTGACAAGACGCATCCTTGCCTTACGCCACTTTCTATTTTTGTATATTCACTGAACTCGTTCCCTATGCGTATGGATTCTGTTTGCTGCCAGTATAGGTTCTTGAGCAGTCTGATAACATTCCCGAATATATCAAGGATGCCGAGAAGTTTCAACAGATCCTTTTAGGCGTACTTTGTTGAAGGCCTTTGCGTAGTCTATAAAACATAGTTACACGTCCTTCTGCATTTGTTTTGCTCTTTTTGATAACATTCTGAGCATAAATATCGCGTTCCTTGTTCCGGTGTCTTTAACTAACCCGCATTGTTTTTGTCCTATCTCTGGACTGATTCTGTTGCACGTTCTATTCAACAGAATACGTATGATGTGTTTTGTCACGTTAGGCTTATTGTTTGGCAGTGTTCGCATTCGTTTGCGCCTGGTTTCTTAGGCATAGCTATGAAGATAGATGTGATGAGGTCTTCCGGTATATCTTCGCTGTTGTAGATTTGCAAACAGAGAAGCTTTAAGAATCTGCATTTCAGTTGATAGATTGATTTCAGTCGTTATTTATAAAGGCAAAATCCTGAACTGCAGAAGTCAAGTTGTCAATAACTTTCAATTCCTAACACTTTCTCTTTCATTTATAACACGCGCTTCATTCATTGTCACCAATTTAAACAACAACACTCTACCGTGAGTGGCCCTTGGGCTTCATATTGGGTGAAAATTGAAATTAAAATGTCTACAAATCTGCTATAATGTATAAAATGTAACATGACTTCTTTCAAGTCTCAGCCGTATCTGTTTTACTCTTTGATAAAACCAAGTGTAATGGTTAACAAGCATATCTTGCTAGATCATTTTTTTAATCATATAACCACATGCAAGGCAATAAAGCCACTAAGACACAAGGGGTTACGGAGTGTGAATTGAGTCAGTTATGTTTCATTCGTGATACACGCTTAGGTGATTATGTAACTTTGGATACATGACTGACGTGGCAGATTTTTTTTTCCCACGGTAGGTTGCCATTTCTTTCTGCGGTAGACCAGTTTCCATCCAAGGCTATAGAACCCGAGCTGTCCTGCTATTTACCTATAGATGGTGGGGAGAAGAAGTGGATTCATACGTTTTCCAAGGTTATTAGCACGTAAGTGAATGTAATGGATTCAAAATAAAACTGGTTTAAGACTAATTTTAAAAGCCAGGAAAAAGTAAAGGAAGGAAAAATGGAGAAAGAAAGAAAGAAAGAAAGAAAGAAAGAAAGAAAAACAGAATAGTGAGATAAGTAACAGAGAAGAGGAGGTTGAAAAGGGGAGTATATAGGGCGTGGTCATGTTTAGACATGGTAATGGTGCGAAGAGACACTCAAATGGAAACTGGCCATATATATATATATATATATATATATGAAAAAATGTGAACGAATTACGGCGTTCGTAACATTGAACTTAAAAGAGGAGTCAATAAAAAATTAGCTCAATATTTTTATTTTAGGATATTTCATCAAATAGATGTCACAAAGCGCTACACAAATGCAATCATGTTTCGATGCAATTATTAAAGCCTGATGATATGTTTTAATACGCATCGAAACCTGATTGTATTTGTGTAGCGTTTTTATACATGTTTTTGATGTTATATCCTTAAATAAAGTATATATATATATATATATATATATAGTTGGAGTGATGTGAGTTTGTGACCCTGGGTATCACGCTTTGACGATCGCAAAAGTGTGAAACCCAGGGTCACAAACTCACATCAATCCAACTAAATATGTTAGCCCTATCACTGATATTGAGCGCTTTAAAATAATTACCGTGCATATATAATATATAAATAATATATGTAATAAATATATATATATATATATATATATATATATATATATATATATATATATATATATATATATATATATAAGTGTAGGTATGCAGAAAATAGAAAAAAGAACACGTTGGGTGCATAATCCGGGATTCCTTAGTATTTTTTGTTTTTATTTTTAAGAAGACAGTGCTCCATACAGAAGTAGAGCTTTATAATAATAATATTTTTGTTTAAAATATGATTCCTTTGCTACATAAGAGTTCTCATGTTTCAAAAACGAGAGCCGAAATCATCCAAATAATTATTAAAATTAAGTTGAATTGTGGTGTTTAGTCCCGTTTCATCTTCAAGCGAAATTTTAGGAATAAGCTATCTCTCGGTTTACGTGTGTTTTTAGGCATGGTCCGTTACAGAATTCGTTATTGTGGGAGTGGCTAGACTATTTTCCTTCGTTAAGTGGTCAGAGAGTTAATTCTTATTAATAGATTCATCATCTTCTGAGAGGTTTTGCTAAGGTAGGGTAAATTTATATCGATGAATATAGGCATAACCATCTCATCAAATTGTCTACATGTTTTGAAATTGAATCAATATATCCAGACAGATATATATATATATATATATATATATATATATATATATATATATATATATATATATATAAAAAAAAATAAGAAGTAGAAAATAGTACAAGATGAAACAATAGCAAAAATAAATTGACTGTTGAAACTTAACTAATGCATGGAATAATAATGCAACACAAAATGTACTTAGAACAAAATGTATTGCAACAAGAAAGTGTACACAATATTTACATATAGTCTTTTGTATATTCCTGGGAAGACCGTTCCTGGAGAATGTGTTGACTTAGTCGCAGTCGGGCAGAGTCTCTGGTTGAATCTCTTGATTCCTCCCTCTCTTCCCGGTACCAACCATATTTATATGGTCGGTACTCCACTATGCAAATTAGGTGGATCCTACCACAACATTGACCTAGAGAAGTTTTCTTAGCGGGGGGTTACATTAAGAAGCGAGAACAGGTTAATAGAACTGTAAAGAAATAGGAAGGTGAAATTTAAAACAATGTGTTAAATAAAGTTCACAAAAGGAGGCAGTTAACACGGCTGTTTACACGGCATCATCAACATAATATAATACAATCATCACATACTACTACTACTAATAATAATAATAATAAAATTATAAGAAAAATATATAATATAAAACATAAATATAAACATATATATATATATATATATATATATATATAAAAAATGATAATAATAATAAAGACATCAAGATAAAAAATAATAATCTAATAATAAATAAAATCTGAAATATAGATAACAATAATAAATAAGTAAAATAGTAAATAATTACAAATAATAATAATAATAATAATAATAATAATAACTATATATGATAAACATATAGGTGTGTGTATATGAGCCTATGTGTGTGTGGGAAAAATATATATATATATATATATATATATATATATATATATATATATATATATATCTTAGACGTCGCTGCATATTTATAAACGATGTTTATATTTATATTCCTCCTATCCATTACACATACAGTGTAGCCCGAATATAAGAGACCCGGATATAAGAGAAACCCGGATATAAGAGATTTTCTCTGGTCCCAAATTAGAGCCTATGTTAGTGTATATAAAATAGACCAAACCCGGATATAAGAGAAACCCGGATATAAGAGATACCTGGATATAAGCGACTTCTTCTCCCGTCCCGACAACTCTCTTATATCCGGGTTACACTGCATACAGATATATATTATTTTAGCCATGAGAAAATTCCTTTAGTCTGATGAAGTCCGTTTTATAGGGCGAAACGCGTTCTATAGTGCTTTTTTTCATTTTTTCATTCACACACACTTACACGCACACATGCACACACACACACACACACACACACACAGAGACACACACATATATATATGTGTGTGTGTGTGGGTGTGTGGGTGTACGTATTACGTATGTAGGTACACGTGCGTCTGTGATTAAATAAGGAAAAAGAATGAAGTATCATTTCATTAACAAATTGAATATATAGAAATATACGTCTTATAAATGTAGTGTTTCTCATACATATATATATGTATGAAGTTATGAGTGCGTCCACGTACCTTTTATAGATTTCTCGGTTGTTGTAAATATTTTGTTTTCAACGTAGGACATGTAAAAGTCAGCGAAAGCAGGTCCTAAAGATTTCCCCATGCTAATACCGTATGCAAATACCTACACTTTTATAACATCTAAGAAAAACCCTCAACTGCATAATATCTCCATGCACTCAACAACTACAGCATAGCATCAACTAATGACTTCCTCCGCATCTTACAAGCAGCAAATCCTATAGGAGATAATATGGCTTAGCTGGACGTGGAAAACACCCTTACCAACGTCTCAGTTGGGGAAATAATCAACATAATTACACTACAATAATTCCCCACCCCAAAAAATCCGACCTGCTATCATGCAGAAACTTCTCCTGAATTGTACCACGAAAGATCCATTCTATGACCATAATGGTAACACATATATCTAAATTAACGTTGTTAGCATGGGAAGCCCTTTAGGCCCTACTTACGCTGACTTTTATATGTCCTACATATAAAACAATGCATTCAAAACAACCGATAAGCTTTAAATCTACACAAGGTTCGTCGTGATAAAAAAAAAAAAATAAAGATAAAATCACAAATCTAAAATCAACTTTGTAAAAAAACTCAACATTAACATTCACATATGAACCCATGGTACATAACAAGATCCCATTCCTTGACGTCGAGGTAGAGTTAATATCCAATGATTTTGCCACTTACCTGTATGTAAAACAACTAATACGATATCTCGTTTTCTAAATTATGATAACCAATGCCGAGAAAGGTATAAAATAGCAGTGATAACAAACCTCGTAAATAGAGCATATCAAAATTCCTCTTCCCAAAAAACATTTCTAAACGAACTAAAACACAGAAAACATACAATTTTCCCAACTATATCACTGATAAGCAAATAAAAGTATTCTTACAAAAAATAAACAACGCCAGTAAGAAAAATATAACACCACAAAAAACAACACATTTTATTGCAACCAGATGCACAATAACTATAAGCAGGATGAATTTACTATAAGGAAAAACATTAAACACCATATTTCTGCAGTAACCCCAGGAAAACATATAAAGTTACTAATATATAATATAGAAAATGGAAGACCGCAAACATTGTAATCACCAACCGAAATAAATTCCAATACCTAGTAAGAGACTGTATTACTTGTCAAAAATTGAATTATATCGGACACACCATTACCTCCTTAAGTAGACGTCTTACATGCCACCTTTCGAAGCAGAGTGCGATTTATAAACATTTATTAACTCGTAATTTATAAGAACCTTTAAGGAAAATTCTAGCCGATAACAGATTCATTTCAAAGGACATAGTCGTACACAACACATCATATAGGAAAGCATTACTTATTAAATACCATTCGCCCGCTATCATTCTTACACTATTTAGCAGTGGAGACGACGTTTTAAAGGAGCTCTAAAAATAGAAATGATAATCAGGTTAACCGGCCGCGCGTAGCATTTGACCGCCAAAAATGATACAAACCACAGTGCACGTATACTATGTAGAATATAACAAACAGAAATTTACTATCAAAAACGACATCCCTGATACTGGCTGTAGAAGTAGTCGAAAGCACTCGGAACAATAATAAATATAGACAATTTTTATATATTTTAACCCCTGAAAAACGTAAAAATATAAGAAGGGAAAACTTAATAAGATATTAATTAAAACATCCTTGTCGACCGCCGTTGTCAACGCAAGGTACATGAAAGAAAGGTTCCAAATACGAATTTATATATATATATATATATATATATATATATATATATGTGTGTGTGTGTGTCTGTGTGGGTCTGTGTGTGTGTGTGCTTACTTTATGCATATTTTTCGTACACTAGTTAGTCGCTCGTTTTCTGTTCTCTCTCAATTTATTCTTATATATATATATATATAATTTACGAAGAAGGTATAGCAATTCAAAGAGAATAAAAGAGACAGTTGAATGTCATGACCGCTTACCTTCTGAATGGACATGTCATATATATATATATATATATATATATATATATATATATATTTTTACGAGCAATATATAGATGTATATCTGTTTCTTTTTAGTTTATATATTTATATTCTTTTCACGTATATATATATATATATGTGTGTGTGTGTGTGTGTGTGTGTGTGTGTGTGTGTCTGTGTGTGTCATTTACTTATTCAATCTACCTTTTTCTCTATTCATCTGATAGCATATATAAAATCAGATAATTTAGTCTATATATATAAATATACATATATATGTATGTTTAATCAGACGGAAATATATATATATATATATATATATATATATATATATATATATATATATATATATATATAAACACACGTTATACGTACTTTTATTTTCATGCCCTAAACTCTGCCATCAAATATTCATGGCAATTCCTCTTATGGTGAATATCGCATTCAACTCACGTTCGTCCGTACCGTGCTTTTGCCCAATTTAGTGTCTCAGCATTCGTTGTGAACGCACAAAACCAGAATACATCGCCAGGAATGGTATGGCGTATTGGGTGGTGGTTGGAACACAGCTCAAAGGATGTGCGTCGGGGTTGGACTGGTGTTTGGGATGGTGTTTGTGGGCAGCGCCCTGCTGGTCAGTTGATGTGAATGGGACACGAAAACCACAGCAATGTCCGGTTCGGACTTCCCGCCGATCTGAAAATGTTTTGGGCGCCCTGCAGTGTGGCTGCTTCAGTGGAAAATAAAGGCCAGTTCGGCCGACCGCGAGTAGTGAAACAGCTGCACGACGGATAGACATCAGGCTAGCTTTCGAGCGCTTTGCCGATTTACTTACATACCTACATGCATATTTTAATAAATCCATACATAATACACACGGGAACGTGCGCGCACGCACACACGCACAGACATACATATATATATATATATATATATATATATATATATATATATATATATATATATATATATATATACACACATATATATACGCACAAAAACACACACACACACACACACACACATATATATATATATATATGTGTGTGTGTGTGTGTGTGTGTGTAGTATGACGTGTTGAAATATTCTCGGCTCGCCACACTTCACAAAAATATTATAAAATATATATACACTAAGCGACTGGTCGTCTAAATTACCCAAGAATGAAAATAAGACATATTTAACAGATACATTCCCAAAAATTACACAAAAATATCTTGAAATACTAAAGAGTAAATTTATTCAATAAAATCGCCATTGGCTTCATCAAGGCCTCTAAATGACTTTGGAATCTCTTGCAACTCTTCTGGATGGTCTCCCCCTTTAAGTTGGTGAATGAATCTTTGCCTTCGTATTTCAAGGAGTTTTGTTGCACTCTCGCTTAACTGCGCCCCTCACATAATAATCAAGTGGGGTTGCAGCCTGGAAAGTTAGGTGGGCAGATGTAAGGGGTCGAAGTCCTTACAGACTTCGTCTAAGTGACATGACTGAGTTCTCCTGCTTGTGCGGCATGATGCAGAGTCCCGTTGCCAGACTTAGGGTCCCCATCAGTCACCCGCTTGACTACGAACCACATTACATCCTCATGTCTTTGTGTTAAGTCTGTGGGATGACGAATGGAGTTATAACGTCGCCATCACAAGGGCTCACACCAAATTCAAATATTTGCTTTTCATCACTCTCAGAACATCCTTTGAGAAACAGGAACCTCTACACGGTCCTCAGATTGACACCCAAAAACTCTGAAATTTTCGGTGCGAATGTCAAGCAGCAAAATCATGCTCTCTCCATTTCTGCCGGAATGGATTGCTTCATTCCTCTTTTTTTTCTCACAGACGCTGCCCAACTGACCCTACTATAGGCGCAGTCGACAAAAGCAGAAACAATCAACGAGCATGCGCGAAATGTAAAATGGTGACAATTTGCCCATTTTACCTCTCTCTCTCTCTCTCTATATATATATATATATATATATATATATATATGATGGACTCTCCCGTCGAGTTCGACGTATGACGTTCCGACGACCACGAACTAATTATCGTTATGCCTATGATGGGCCTGACTTTTAAGACCGGCTCGAGAATTGCACAAAAGACAACAAACAGTACAGGAGAATATATTGCATCCAACTGCACCAGGAACACTGTTAGCTGTCTTATTTTGCTTTCGTGTTTCACGCAGTCAACTGATGCCTACTTCTTGATGGTGGATTATTCTTGAATGGCAGCGAGAATGATATTCTGATCTCTTCATAGCTGCCTCTTCAAATGGAATGTTGACGCAAGAAAGGTTGCTTTTCAGTTTCTCTTTATACCTGAATAGCTTCATGTCTCGCACCTCTCGCCTGTGGAACTCCCTTCCCTATTCTAGTTTCCCTGAGAGCTATAATCTCCAACTATTCAAATGTAATGTCAATCGACATCTCCAGTTACCTTGATCTATCCACTATCCTTCTCTTCATCCTTTCCTCTATCACTCCTATTTGCTCTCGCTCCAAATCCTATGTAACCACTTGCGTGCTCGTGGCTTCCTGCCTTGCTTGGGGTGAAACGTTTAATTTTTGTAGTGATTTTATAACATATTTATGCTATAATTTTTAAATAAATAATTATATCTGCTCTACTCTGTATTGAGCACTCTTTTAACAATAGTAATTGTTTGTTTATTGGAATTCATTCCGTATACACCAATCATATACTTGGGTATATATATATATATATATATATATATATATATATATATATATATATATATATATATATATATATGTCAGGTTTAGTGATGCCTTATGGCAGATTGTAAATATTCACTTTCAGAGCTCTATGCCTGTTGTCGTGTAACCTAATCTTAGCAAATACTTAAGGTACTACATCAAGAAGTATTGGTCAATAATCTATTCTAGCAGATCTTTAACAATATATCTTGAGTTCGATCGCCAGTTTTCGCATGACACCTCTGTATAAATGTCATAAATGACAACGAGATCTGCGGATGTGTGGCATGTTTTTTTGGGGGGGCGGAGGTTGTGCACGTTTTTAATTAATGATCGAAGACCTATTTTTTGATGTGCACAAATATATTTTAAGTGGGTTATTATTTTTAAAGTCAACGTCTGAGATTTTTTTTTAAAATCTTTGGAAAAGCAAATCGTGTTTCTTTCGTTATCTTTTTTTTTGGCGGGAATGTTACATTCAGGTTAATATTAATTATTTGTACTCTTTGTGTTCTTCCTCTTCTGTTGTTCCTCCTTTTCTTCTTCATCTTCTTTTTCTTTCTCGTCTTCTTTTTATTCGTCGCCATAGTTTAAGAACTATGTTATTCTCTTATTCTTTTCAAAGTCATTAACAGCGTCGATTTTTACACCCGTTCTTCTTCTTCTTCTTCTTCTTCTTCTTCTTCTTCTTCTTCTTCTTCTTCTTCTTCCACATTCCATCTACTTCTTCCCCTTCGTTTTCTTCTTCTTCTTCTTATTATTATTATTATTATTATTATTATTATTATTATTTATCTACTTCCTTTCCTTTTTTCTTCCTCGTCTTCTTCTTCTTCTTTTCTTCTTCCTATTCTTTTCTTCTTTTTCTTCGTCTTCCTCTACATTTCATCTTTTTTGTTCATCTTTTTAGCCGTCGCCATAATTTAAGAACTGATCTTGTTCTTTTCTTTTTCTTTTTAAAGTCGTTAACATCGTCAAATTTTTCACCTATCCTTCTTCTTTGTCTTCTTCTTCCTACTTCTTTCTCCTCTTATAGTTTTTCTTCCTAGTCTACTTCTTCTTTTTCTTCCTCTTCTTCTCCTTCCTTTTCTTCTTCCTCTTCTTTTTCTTCTTCTTCTTTTTAGTCGTCGTTGTTAAGAACTCAAATTCTTCTTTCCATATTATTTTCATAGTCGTTAACATCGTCCCATTTTCCACCCTTTCTTCTTCTTCTTCTTCTTCTTCTTCTTCTTCTTCTTCTTCTTCTTCCTGCTTCTTTCTCCCTCTAATCTTTCTCCTCCTCCTCCTCTTCTTCTTAATCTTCTCATCTTCTTCTTCCTATTCTTCTTCGCCTTCCTCCCAATTTCGTCTTTTTTAGTCGCCGTCGATGTCTAAGAAATCAACTTGTACTTTCTTTATTGTCTTCGTAATCGCTAACATCTTCTTCTTCTTCTTCTTCTTCTTCTTCTTCTTCTTCTTCTTCTCTCCCTATATCTACTCATTTTTCTTCTTCTTCTTCTTCTTTTTGCTACTGTTCTTTCTTCCTCCTCCTCTTCTTCGTCTTCTTCGTCTTCTTCTTCTTCTTCGTCTTCTCTGTGCGTCCTCCTTTTTCTTTGTCGTCGTTGTTATTTTACAACTCGTTTTTTTCTTATTCTTTTCGTAGTCGTTAACATCGACTCTTTTTCCATCAATACTACTACTTCTTCCTCTTCCTCTTCTTGCTCTGTCTCTTCTTCCTCCACCTTCTCTTCTTCTTCTTGCTCTGTCTCTTCTTCCTCCACCTTCTCTTCTTCTTCTTCTTCTTCTTCCTCCACCTTCTTCTTCTTCTTGCTCTGTCTCTTCTTCCTCCACCTTCTCTTCTTCTTCTTGCTCTGTCTCTTCTTCTCCACCTTCTCTTCTTCTTCTTCTCTGTCTCTTCTTCCTCCACCTTCTCTTCTTCTTCTTGCTCTGTCTTCTTCCACCTTCTTCTTCTTCCACTCTGTCTCTTCTTCCTTCTCTTCTTCTTCTTGCTCTGTCTTCTTCCTCCACCTTCTCTTCTTCTTCTTGCTCTGTCTCTTCTTCCTCCACCTTCTCTTCTTCTTCTTGCTCTGTCTCTTCTTCCTCCACCTTCTCTTCTTCTTCTTGCTCTGTCTCTTCTTCCTCCACCTTCTCTTCTTCTTCTTGCTCTGTCTCTTCTTCCTCCACCTTCTCTTCTTCTTCTTGCTCTTTCTTCTTCCTCCACCTTCTCTTCTTCTTCTTGCTCTGTCTCTTCTTCCTCCACCTTCTCTTCTTCTTCTTGCTCTGTCTTCTTCCTCCACCTTCTCTTCTTCTTCTTGCTCTGTCTCTTCTTCCTCCACCTTCTCTTCTTCTTCTTGCCACCTTCTTCCTCCACCTTCTCTTCTTCTTCTTGCTCTGTCTCTTCTTCCCTCCACCTTCTCTTCTTCTTCTTGCTCTGTCTCTTCTTCCTCCACCTTCTCTTCTTCTTCTTCTCTGCTCTGTCTTCTTCCCCTCCACCTTCTCTTCTTCTTCTTGCTCTGTCTCTTCTTCCTCCACCTTCTCTTCTTCTTCTTGCTCTGTCTCTTCTTCCTCCACCTTCTCTTCTTCTTCTTGCTCTGTCTCTTCTTCCTCCACCTTCTCTTCTTCTTCTTGCTCTGTCTCTTCTTCCTCCACCTTCTCTTCTTCTTCTTGCTCTGTCTCTTCTTCCTCCACCTTCTCTTCTTCTTCTTGCTTTGTCTTCTTCCTCCACCTTCTCTTCTTCTTCTTGCTCTGTCTCTTCTTCCTCCACCTTCTCTTCTTCTTCTTGCTCTGTCTCTTCTTCCTCCACCTTCTCTTCTTCTTCTTGCTCTGTCTCTTCTTCCTCCACCTTCTCTTCTTCTTCTTGCTCTGTCTCTTCTTCCCTCCACCTTCTCTTCTTCTTCTTGCTCTGTCTCTTCTTCCTCCACCTTCTCTTCTTCTTCTTGCTCTGTCTCTGCTTCCTCCACCTTCTCTTCTTCTTCTCTGTCTCTTCTTCTCCACCTTCTCTTCTTCTTCTTGCTCTGTCTTCTTCCTCTGTCTTCTTCTTCTTCCTCCACCTTCACCTTCTTCTTCTTCTTCTTGCTCTGTCTCTTCTTCCTCCACCTTCTCTTCTTCTTCTTGCTCTGTCTCTTCTTCCTCCACCTTCTCTTCTTCTTCTTGCTCTGTCTCTTCTTCCTCCACCTTCTCTTCTTCTTCTTGTCTGTCTTCTCTTCTTGCTCTGTCTCTTCTTCTCCACCTTCCTTCTTCTTCTTTTTCTTGCTCTTCTTCCTCCACCTTCTCTTCTTCTTCTTGCTCTGTCTCTTCTTCCTCCACCTTTCTTCTTCTTGCTTCTTCTTGCTCTGTCTTCTTCTTGCTCTCTCTCTTCCTTTCTCTTCTTCTTCTTGCTCTGTCTCTTCTTCCTCCACCTTCTCCACCTTCTCTTCTTCCTCCACCTTCTCTTCTTCTTCTTGCTCTGTCTCTTCTTCCTCCACCTTCTCTCCTCTCTCTTCTTCTTCTTTCTTCTTGCTCTGTCTCTTCTTCCTCCACCTTCTCTTCTTCTTCTTGCTCTCTCTTCTTCTTCTTTCTTCTTCTTGCTCTGTCTCTTCTTCCTCCACCTTCTCTTCTTCTTCTTGCTCTGTCTCTTCTTCCCCTCCACCTTCTCTTCTTCTTCTTGCTCTGTCTCTTCCTCCACCTTCTCTTCTTCTTCTTGTTTGTCTCTTCTCTTCTTCCTCCACCTTCTCTTCTTCTTCTTGCTCTGTCTCTTCTTCCTCCACCTTCTCTTCTTCTTCTTGCTCTGTCTCTTCTTCCTCCACCTTCTCTTCTTCTTCTTGCTCTGTCTCTTCTTCCTCCACCTTCTCTTCTTCTTCTTGCTCTGTCTCTTCTTCCTCCACCTTCTCTTCTTCTTCTTGCTCTGTCTCTTCTTCCCTCCACCTTCTTCTTCTTCTTGCTCTGTCTCTTCTTCCTCCACCTTCTCTTCTTCTTCTTGCTCTGTCTCTTCTTCCTCCACCTTCTCTTCTTCTTCTTGCTCTGTCTCTTCTTCCTCCACCTTCTCTTCTTCTTCTTGCTCTGTCTTTCTTCCTCCACCTTCTCTTCTTCTTCTTGCTCTGTCTCTTCTTCCCTCCACCTTCTCTTCTTCTTCTTGCTCTGTCTCTTCTTCCTCCACCTTCTCTTCTTCTTCTTGCTCTGTCTCTTCTTCCTCCACCTTCTCTTCTTCTTCTTGCTCTGTCTCTTCTTCCTCCACCTTCTCTTCTTCTTCTTGCTCTGTCTCTTCTTCCTCCACCTTCTCTTCTTCTTCTTTGCTCTGTCTCTTCTTCCTCCACCTTCTCTTCTTCTTCTTGCTCTGTCTCTTCTTCCTCCACCTTCTCTTCTTCTTCTTGCTCTGTCTCTTCTTCCTCCACCTTCTCTTCTTCTTCTTGCTCTGTCTCTTCTTCCTCCACCTTCTCTTCTTCTTCTTGCTCTGTCTCTTCTTCCTCCACCTTCTCTTCTTCTTCTTGCTCTGTCTCTTCTTCCTCCACCTTCTCTTCTTCTTCTTGCTCTGTCTCTTCTTCTTCCACCTTTTCTCTGCGCTCTTCTTCTTTTTCTTAGTCGTCGTTGTTTTAGAACACTTTTTCTTTTCTCATCTTGTCGTAGCTGCTTTACATTTTCTCTCTTGTTTATATCCTCCTCTACTTTTTCTTATTATTTTTCTCCTCGTTTTTCTCTTCACTTATTTTACTTCCTGCTCTTCTTTCTTCTTCCGCAGATTATTTATTTTCATTCTTCTTCTCATATAATTCTTATTGCCATTCTACTCCTACCCCTTTCATATTCTTCCTATCCTTCTCCTGTTCATCCATTATATATTCTTAGTCTTTCTCTTCTGGCTCAAATTCTTTTTTTACCGTTAGCTCGTATACCAACTTCTTCTTCTTCTTCTTCTTCTTCTTCTTCTTCTTCTTCTTCTTCTTCTTCTTCTTCTGTCTGCTCCTTGTCCTACTTCTTCTTCTCCTCTTCCGGCTCTTTCATCTTCTTCTTCTCCTGCTTCTCCTCCTCCTCCTCATCATCATCATCTTCTTCTTCTTCTTCTTCTTCTTCTTCTTCTTCTTCTTCTTCTTCTTCTTTTTCGTCTCAGTCTCCTCCTTCTTCACCACTTCGTTTTTCTTTTTCTTCTCCTTCTTCTCCTCCTCCTCATGTTCTTTCTCCTTCTTCTTTCATCTTCTTTGTTTCCTCCTTCTCTTCAAATTCACCTTCAAATTCTTCTTCTTCAAATACTTCTTCAAATTCTTTTTCAAATTCCTCTTCTTTAAATATTCTTCTTTTTCAAATTCTTCTTCTTCAGATTCGTCTTCAAATTCTTCTTCAAATTCTTCTTCAAATTCTTCTTCTTCAAATCCTTCTTCAAATTCTTCTTCTTCAAATTCTTCTTCAAATTCTTCTTCAAATTCTTCATCTTCAAATTCTTCTCCTTCAAATTCTTCAAATTCCTCTTCCTCTTCAAATTCTTTTTTTTCTTCTTCTTCTTCTTTTTCTTCTTCAAATTCACCTTCAAATTCACCTTCAAATTCTTCTTCTTCAAATACTTCTTCAAATTCTTTTTCAAATTTCTCTTCTTTAAATATTCTTCTTCCTCAAATTCTTCTCCTTCAAATTCTTCTTCAAATTCCTCTTCCTCTTCAAATTCTTTCTTCTTCTTCTTCTTCTTCTTCTTCAAATTCTTCTTCTTCCTCAGATTCTTCTTCAAAATCTTCTTTTTTCAAATTCTTCTTCAAATTCTTCTTCAAATTCTTCTTCTTCAAATTCTTCTTCAAATTCTTCTTCTTCAAATTCCTCTTCCTCTTCAAATTCTTCTTCTTTTTCTTTTTTTCTTTGTATCCCGTCCATTCTCTTCGTCGCCTACTTCCTTTACTTTCCTTGGTCTCCTTCTCTAACTCGCCTCCTACTTCTTTTCTTGCTCTCCTCCCCAACTTCTTCCCCTTCTACGTCTTTTTTTTCTTTCTTTGCTCTTCTCCTTCAACTTTTTTCCTCTCTATCACATCCTACTGCTTTTTTTTCTTTTCTTGCTCTCTTCCTTCAACTTCTTCCTCTGCACCACCCCCTACTTCTTTTTTTTACTTTCCTCCTCAACTACATTTCCGTCACCGCCTCCTTTTTTTTCTTTCTTTGCTCTCCTCCTTCAACTCTTTCGTCTCCGTTACTTCCGACTTCATCATTCTCTTATTACTTTCCTCCTCCAACTCCATCCACTCCCTCACCTCCTACTTCTTTTTATTTTTCTCACTTTCCTCCTTCATCTCCTTCCTCCGTCGCCACCTACTTCTATCTTTGCTCTCCTCCTCCGACTCCTTCATCCCCGTTACTTCCTACTTCATTATTTTTTTCTTACTTTCCTCCTCCAACTCACTTCTCACCTCCTACTTCTTTTTTTTTCTTTTCTTGTCCTGTTTCTCCTACTTCGTCCTCTTCTTCTGCTTCTCCTCCTTCTTTCTCTTCGTCTCCTCACTGTTTCTCCCAAAACATTATTTTAAAAATTAATATAAAAACATATAAGCAAAATAATAACTAAATGAAAAAAAAAAAAATTCAGGACACAGGTTGTTAAAACGGACCAATTTTCTTCAGCAAACAGAATAAAATTATTCGTTTTTCTAATTAAATCAATTACGCGACGTTCATTTTCGGAATTAGAGCCGGGCTATTTTCTGAAAACAGGAATTAAGTTGTTTAAGTCGAACATTAACTGGGTAAATATTTATTTCCATCTCATCAAATTTAGGTCTTCTCTCTTTGCAGAAAAGAGATATTTTTGCCTCTTAGATATTATGTTCTTTCTCATTCGCTTGACAACTTTCTATTACACTCATTAAACTTTCTGTTTCCTATTTCTCAGTCTTTCTGTCTCTGATTCGATTTCTATCTCTCTTTCGTACTCACACGAAATCTGTTTACATTACCTTCTCTATTTTTATTTAAAAAAATCAGTTCATATATATTTAAATCACTTTTTAAGGCCCCCCTCCCTATATCTCTCTCACTATATATATATATATATATATATATATATATATATATATATATATCTTTTCTATCTATCTATCCATATACACAACTTTTGCAGATGATACATGTGTCGTCTGAAATATTCATGCCAGTGGGGTGATTATGGAAATAATAATTATAATAACTATTATTAGTAGTAGTTGTAGTAGTATCAGCAGTAGTTGTAGGATTATTATTATTATTATTATTATTATTTCGGATATGGTTACACTGCCTACCAAGTCTGCTGGAAGACCTAAGGCATGTAGTGATATGTTTTTATGACTACATTTCATTTTCAAATTTTGTTTTTCCATAATATCACCAGCTTTACATGGACAAATTTCTTCTGAGTATGTGGTCAGTACTTATCAAGAGATTTGTTTGTATTTTTCTTAAGCTGTGTTATATTCCGTGCTAATAGGAATATGGAATGGAGAAACATAGTGGATAAATAGTAACAGGTTTATTGTAGAAACCAGTACAACAAGCAAGGAAGTAACAGTTATGCGCACGGTCGTCGCAAGTCAGTACAGTTTTGTGCGTGCTGATAACGGAAGGCCGCTACTTTCGCAGATCCCAGTTCGACCCTGCTGTTCTAACGGATACTTATAGTTGGTAACCATCTATAGTGCCGCCACTCACGGGGGTGGCAGGTTATTCCATTACATCAAGCTGCTATTTCCAGGGATTTTTTCAATGTGTTGTTGCGTTCCTTTTTTATCATTCCAAGCGCACCTACTATGACTGATGCTATTCTTGTTTTCAATTCCCTCATATTTTTTTTCTATTTCGATTTCCAAGTCTTTATACTTCGATAGTTTTTCAAATTCCTTGATTGCTATGTTACAGTCCACTTGGCAATGCATATCAATTAGTAGACCAGATTTTTTTTTTTTTTTTTTGTATTAATAATTTTTTTACTATTATTATTATTATATTATTATTCTATGAACCGTGTCCCTTTAAGACGTTGGCCATCAAGAATCCCCATTTCCACTCCAAAATAACACTAAATTTACTAATAGCTATAAGTCTTAGCAAATTTTATTATTTTGCTGTCACTACTCAACCATGTTTTGCCATACATGTATATATGCCCTAAGATATATTTTTGCACTGTTTTCTTTGTCCGTCTTGCCTTTCATATGTTCTGTTATTGTTAAATTCTACAAACACATTCTTCTTATTATATGCCCAATAAATTTTAATTGTCTTTTTCTATTGTTAAGTAGTAGTTTCTTTTTTGTTTCTCTAAAATTTCGTCGTTGCTCACATCTTCAGTCTACAGTATTCTCAACATCGTTCTGTTGCCTCAAGTTTTTTTTTGTTTTGTTTTGTTTTTGTTTTGTTTTTTATCTGTGGCAATTGTCCAACATTCACTATTATATCGGACGACTGATATTACATAAAATCTAGGTACATTTTTATTTTATTCTAGCGAAATATTTTCGTTTCTTGATACTTGGCTGAGCTTTTGGAATGCTATCCCATTGCGTATTCTGATTTTGGTGTGGCACTTTCATTACTCTGTTGATAATTCCCATGCTTGGTTTTTGTAACACAAAAACTTATGAAATAAGGGCACTAGTTCAAATAAACTGAAATTTTTAAATAAGTTTAATGAACATTTAACAACTTTTACCACGGAGAAAAATATTTGAAAACTAATAAGCATCTCTATCTATAAAAGGCAGGATGTGTGTGTGTGTGTGTGTGTGTGTGTGTGTGTGTGTGTGTGTGAATGCATGGCCGCAATTTTCGACAGATTTGCACCAAAATTTACATGCACATGCTCCAAGTTAGCGGGAAGGCCAAGATCGACTTTGCATTTCCCAACTCCCATCGATAGTGGAAATAATTTCATGCTTCTACGGCAGTTTTCATGTAGTTTGCGGCCATTTTCTACTCGACAGAATGAGAGCCTATAGCTGGCTGCCACGAATAAGCAGGAAGGACCTATTGACCAACGTGGGGGCCAACAGCTGACTGACGCGAATGTTAACTAGTATGCTAGCATGCAAAAAAATCGATGGCTGCATTCGTCACAAGTGGGAAAAATTTAAATCTGCATGGCACTTTACTCCAATTGGCTCATTCGCTTGCTTAAACTCAATGTTGATTCTGATTCCGCAGAACTGGGTTGGGTGTGAAAAAGTATTTAACATTCTTTTTGTAGGCGACAAGACGTTTGTAAACATTAATGTCTATTCCTGTGTTATTTGGGCTTTGTAAGAAGGTGCTGAATCTTCTTGAAACAGCTACGACTTTCTACTGCCTACTTCTTTATGGCTTGTCAAAGGATCCAGCTGAATTAATTTCAAGTCCCTTATCTACTTAGACAACTTCAAGCGGAGATTTCTTTTTCGAGCCACTCAAGAGACGGTATTAATGTAATTAACTAAAACCCTAGAGTAAAAACTTGACGGAACCTTTCATTCGGTTGCTGAAGGATTTACTTAACATCTCTTGAAGACAACTTTCAACTATATTACTGCTCTATAAACTCATCTTTGATTTCTTTTTCTGCAATCTTGCATGAAAGCAAAAACGGGTTTGCAGGACACTGCTGTTGAGCAAAAAAAATAACTTGTGAGTGATCTACTACTCAGTACACCTAACCATGACGCAAGACGAGTTAACCGCCCAGCAAACACTTATATTGACCACCTATGTAGCGACACATTATGCCACCTTCATAATATTCCGAACACGATGCAGGACTGTGATGGATAGCGTAATAGACCCGTGAATGTCCGAGTTAGCTCGTCAAGACGGCAAAAAGATTTTCGTTTAGATCAACATGCTTCATTCTCTTGAAACTATTTTTAACAATTGATCTTAAAAAGCGGTTGTATACAGATGACAGTGTACGTATTTCTGAACATATTAAAGGACATATTAAAGGTAAGAGAGAGAGAGAGGCAGGGAGGAAATCAGTGCATGACTTACCTAACGTGCTTGTGTAGATTGTCGGTAAGGATTAGATGATACAGTGGGGAGGGGGACAAATATTCGTATACATACAAATTTTTAATTTATTGTATTTCCAACTAATGAATAAACATACTTTTCATATAATTGACTGTACACAGATGCATGATAACTAAATATGCATAGAAAACAGAAAAAATGATTTAATAGAAATAAATCCCATTTAGTCATTTTAATGGTTGAAAAAAGTATTCGTACTATACAAAAAGAATAGATAATCTTCGTTTAATACTTTGTAGAATAGATATTATTCACTTCTATAGCTACCAGCCTCTTCTTGTAGTTCTCAATTAATAATTTGCAAATTTTAGTTGGTATTTTGTTCCATTGTTCGCCGCATATGGTCTTCAGATCCGGGATGTTAGTTGGAGCTCTTGATTGGTTTTGAATTTTCAAATAACCTAACAGATTCCCGATTGGGTTTAAATCAGGAGTCTGACTTGGCCATTCCAGGATATTTACATTATTTTTAGTAAGCTATTTCTTCGTAGATTTTACAGTGTTTTTAGGATCATTATCTTGCCGGAAGATCAAATCAGGAGGGAGTTCAAGTTTTTCAACCGAAATCATTAAATTGGCTTCCAAAATATTTTGATGTGCTGCGGCATTCATTCTACCATCTATTACAAATGTGTTGCCAGTAACTTTTGCAGAAAAGAAACCATCCCTAAACCATGATGCTGCCACCACCAAATGTTACTGTTGGAACTCTGTTCTTTTGTTTGAGGGCATCGCCATCTTTCCTTCACACAGGATACAGTAGGGATTAGAAGATACGGTGGGGTGGGGAGACAAATATTCGTACACACACAAATCCTTAATTTATTGTATTTCCAACTAACGAATAGACATACTTTTCATATAATTAACTGTAATCAGATGAATAATAAGTAAATATGCATAGAAAACAGAAAAAAATGATTTAATAGAAATAAATCACATTTATCCATTTTAATGGTTGATAAAAATATTCGTACTATACAAAAAGAATAGATAATCTTTATTTAATACTTTGTAGAATAGCTATTATTCACTTCTATAGCTAACCAGCTCTTCTTGTAGTTTTCAATTAATGATTTGCTAATTTTAGTTGGTATTTTTTGTTCCATTCTTTTTCGCATATGGTCATCAGATCCATGTTTGTTGGAGCTCTCGATTGGCTTTGAATTTTCAGATAACGCCAAAGATTCTCGATTGGGTTTAAATCGGGGGTCTGACTTGGCCATTCCAGGATATTTACATCATTTTTAGTAAGCTATTTCTTCGTAGATTTTACAGTGTTTTTGGGATCATTATCTTACCGGAAGATCAAATTAGGAGGGAGTTCAAGTTTTTCAACCGAAATCATTAAATTTGATTCCACAATATTTTGATATGCTGCGTCATTCCTTCTACCGTCTATTACAGATGTGTTGCCAGTACCTTTTGCAGAAAAGAAACCATCCTTAAACCATGATACTGACACCACTAAATTTTACTGCTAGAACTTTGTTCTTTTGTTTGACGGCATCGTCATCTTTCCTTTACACAGGATTTCTAGAATTACGTCCGTATAACTCAATTTTGGTTTCGTCTATCCATAATACTCTTTCCCAATTCGATTTTTCCTTATCCTTATTATCACGAACGAATTTCAACCTGGCATCACTGTGTCTTTTTCAATAACAATGGAGTTTTCCAAGGGCAGCGTGCCTTTATATTGTTCCTATGAATGTCATTGTTTAACGTCCGTTTAGTAGTACAGATTCGAAAATATTTTCATGAAAAGTATGTTTATTCATTAGTTGGAAATACAATAAATTAAAAAATTGTAACATACGAATATCTGACCCCC